CACACACACACACAGACACACACACACACAAACACACACAGACACACAACTCTCTGAGCAGCCAGCAGCTCATGGACAAGTTCTTCAAGAAAAAGATAACAGAGCAGGTGAGTTTCAAACAGGAACTTTAGAAAAACATTATTTTGGGGGAAGTCACCTCCAAATAAATGCAATTTTGGAACTTTTAATTGCTCAGTTTTATCCAATACATTTACTTTAAATACTTATGAATTATACTTAATATGTCAGAAATCAGTTTAAAGTAAAATTCAACGTCACTCAAGTCGTTTTCTTACAGAAGACTGTACCTCTTCACAATAAGACTCCCTTTGTAGATAGGTTTTAAATAGGTTATTAATTCATCTGTAAACACTTTATAAATCATTAATAAGTGTTTATTTTGCATTAATTAAGGACAATAAAAGAAAATAAATTGTTTTCTTTCCAAATACTGAACCAAATCTGTTTGTGTGTTAAACCTTTCAGACTAGTTTACTACCTTGTAGCACATTAATGATTAGGAAACACATATTTTACATATAATATTGTACTGTATTACTGCATTATAAATATAAACAAATATTAAAGGGATCTTATTGTAAAGTGTAAAACTGTACTATTTTGAATTGGGTGGGATTATTTAGTGTTAACATGACTTTTTTTACTCTTTTGATACATCAWCATTGTTGACAGTAGTTACATGTTTGGACAATAATTTCAAATATTGATAATCAACACAAAATTTTAAAAAATTCACATTGAAGTCTAACGTTTGGCATTTACAAATGTTTATTTGTTACATCCTTGTAGCAGGAGGCAATATCTATTCCTAAACCAGCTACTGATCTGATTAATGGTACGTGAGCAGCCTAGGCATGCTAGCCACTAGCCTCTCCAATGCTAACACCAGCTGATCCATGCTAGCCACTAGCCTCTCCAAAGCTAACACCAGCTGATCCATGCTAGTCATTAGCCTCTCCAATGCTTAACGCAAATGAATAGTCTCCTCAATTGCCAGTGCCGGCCCCTCATTAATCACATCAGTAGCTGAGTGCAGAGCGTTTTTCTGTAATTGAAATGTGTAGTGCGTAGTACTTTTACTTGTATTTGACTATATTATGTACACATGTCGCCGGGTTTTAAAAAAAGTTGTAGCACCGTGAAACTGGTTTTGTTTTCTTCAGTTCTGTATGTTTGTATTGAAACAAGATGTGTGTCACCCTGACTAACTCAGGCACGGCTTAAACATTATGTGATGTTAACACGTTTTCTGGTGGCTGGGATTTAATTTTCTTTTTATACAAAATGTGTATTATTGTGGCCAGAGAGATTAAGATAGTTTCTAAAAATTGCTTGTCATTCTGTCAAAATGTTGACAATGCTGTGATTCTGCCTGAGGGCTCCAGGCATGGCAGACATCGCGGCAAACAGGAACTCCTTAACAAAGACATTCTTTGGTTTGTTGTAGGGGGGATACCTTTACCTCCAGGCCACTGGGCCTTATTCAAGTGACATGTTAAGGCATTTTATTGTCTCGTGCGCCCATTCATTTTTTTTTTCCTGTCTGACAACGGTGTTCAAAGACAGGTGGTGAAAAGAGTCCCCTGCACTGAATGGTAACAGGATGTTTAACTTGTGTTACATTCAGAGAAAAGGGGTTTAGTTTCCTTTTGTCTCCTATATCCTGTATAGAGTGAAGGAACTATGGAGCAAGATTTCAAAGCTCTTGAAATGTTGGATTGCAGATTTTATTTTGATGGTCTGTTACTTGTTTTTGGATGGCTGGTATTAGAAATGAATCGAGGTGAAAATAAACATGTTTACTCAGACATTCTGTGCTTCGCATTTATTCTACATCATTGCAACATCTTTCTCATAGTTTGTGATGTGTACTGTAGCTCCTGCTACTAATTAAAACTTACAAGTGTTGTAGAAAAAAAGGATTTACTGACCTCCAATAAATACTGCCTTTCAGGTAACTGATGGTGTCATGTTTTTTCGATAACCTTGATAATCATACTGTTTAGACCTGTCTCATTCCTGAAGGCCCTATCACACTATGATGTTTTAGACAACTTATGTAGGGGTCACCTCGAGTGAAGAAACAAGATTTACTGCCTCGAAGCAGGCCTCGGACAGGCCTGACGAGAGGACAGGAACTCTGTCACAAACTGAACTTTATTTAGGCCATGACAGGTCATTCTAACCGTGGAAGAGAACCCCTCAGTTCTCTTAATCAGATAATGGACAGA